AATTAATAACCGTTAATTGTTTTATTATTATACATATTATATAATAAGAATAATGATAATACTTTAATAAAAAAGAATGATATAAACATAAAATACTATTTTTATATAATATTTTTAGAAGGTGGGCCACAATTTCATTCCATTAAGCACTCTTTATCAAAATACCGACCAACACCACTAATCCGATTAACCTAATCTGAAAAAACCTAAAAAAACGAAATCCGAGCTAATCTATTGGATTGAAATCTTTTTAGGAATTTTTGAACCTAACCCAACTCAATGCACTTATATACTATATATTTAATACGATTTTTAAGTCTTTGATTAATATATATATATATATATATATATATATTAGACATTAGACTAATCCATCATTAGCTATATTCAACATTATAGTACAATATCAACTGTAATTTCATTTTCTTATTTACATGAACCTTCAACTTTCTTTTTTGAGTTTGTTAGTCCTTTTTGTATGTTATCCTTTTGATTTTACTTCGTTTAAACAAAAACACTTAGCTAGATTGTAAAATGATATAACAAAGTTTCAACCCGACCAATACACAAGGTTTGGGTTGGGTTGGATCATAGTTTTTCTTGGGTTGGGTTGGGTTGAGATTTTTCATACCAGAAACATTGGGTTGGTTGTGCATATGTCTTTAACCCGACCAATACACAAGGTTTGGGTTGGGTTGGATCATAGTTTTTTTTTGGGTTGGGTTGGGTTGAGATTTTTCATACTAGAAACATTGGGTTGGTTGTGCATATGTCTTTAACCCGACCAAGCCAACCCAAATGCAACTGTTGGTCCCGTAAGGGTCTACAAGAAGAGAAACAGTTTGTAGAAGGGGGGGATGAATACAAACACAATATTTTCAAATTTAAAATATATATTGATAGAGAAGATCAATACAGATTTTACAAGATTGTTTGCGGAAAGATAAGGTAATAAAAACCTATCTAAAAAATCTTTAGTTACACACAAAGCTTTAGCAATTACAAGAAAAGAAATTGCTAAAAGAAAGATCCTTTACTTAAGTTAGAAGATGCTTGAAGTAAGAATAAGGTTAGAGAGAGATGCGCGTTCTCTGCATGGAGA